CCACCTTAAGTGTATGTGGCTGGCGCCTTAGCCGCTTGAGCCACAGGCGCCGAGCCGATTTTATTTAATTTTTTTTTATTTAGTTAGGTTTTATTGGAATTCTAGGGGATTTTAATATGTGTTTTGGAGTTAAGATCAAATCTTTTGATTAAGATACTGCGGTTTTTATCTGCTAATTGAATAAGCTCTATATCAATTTGTCAAAAATCTTGTCTGACTAATAAATGCCAATTAAATGAGATGTGGAATGGCACTATCCCCAGTTTGGCAACTATGTATTTTGTTTAGCACATTTTGAAACTTTTTTGTGCTAATGCATTGGAATCAAAATTATATTTTTTATTTCAGTTTACTGTCAACAAACTTTGTGTACTTCAGAGTTATTTGAAGACTTAACTTGCTTCTTATCTAATGAGTCAAACACAAATTTGAAGAGAGTGTCTGTCTATGTTGTTCTGGTTCTGGTTTCAAATAATAGTAAGTACATTCTCTTATGATTGGGCAAAAACATTTTATTTATTTATTTCTTTATTTATTTCTAGTTTTTGGCCGGGGCCGGGTTTGAACCCGCCACCTCTAGCATATGGGGCCAGCGCCCTACTCCCTTGAGCTACAGGCACCGCCTATTAAAACATTTTAAATAATAAAAACTGGAAAGTCATTACTGATCCTTTTATCATTAGTCTTTATATCAATGTCTTTTATTTTTTCCTACAGATAGTCTCATTCTGTTACTCCAACCTAGGGTGCTGTAGTATCAACCTATCTCACAGCAACCTCAAACTTAATGAGTTCAGTGATTTTCCTGCCTCAGCCTCCTGAGTAGCTGGGACTACAGGCAAATGCTATAATGCCAGGCTAGTTTTTTTATTTTTAGTAGAGATGGGGTCTTACTCTTGCTCAGGCTGGCCTGGAACTCCTGAACTCAAGTTTTCATCCTGCCTTGGCCTCCCGGAGTGCTGGGATTATAGGTGTGAGCCACCATATCTGGTCTTATCAGTATCTTTTTTAATGTAACTGCTGAGAACCACTAGTCTTAAAGAAAAGGGAATTAATAGCATTTAATCATTTACTATTTGTTAATTTTGTCCCTAATAAATATATAGTTATGATTTAATAAAAAATTAAATTAAAAAAAAGAAATAGTAATTTTACTGTTTAACAAATGTTGTAAAGTAACAGCTTTAAAAGAAAACAAGAAGTATTTAATGAATTAGTTTTGTTAATTTTCCACTGAATTGACCATTTAATGACAATGTTTACTGTATCATCCAGCAATTAGTGTTTATTTTAGAATAATTATAGATTTACAGAGAAGTTGCAAAGATAATATAGAGTGTTTCTGTATACTTACTGCCCAGGGTAAGGTAATTTTTACCCCAGAATATTAGGTGTACACATGTTTTGATTACATACTCTGTACAGATTTTATTGTAACATAGAACCATGAAGCCAAATAAGTTTTTCATAAGTTTTAGAGGAAATTTGAATGCCATCAGTCTCCAAGTAGTATATTTTTATCTAGTGTAATTCTGTATTACACTTTGTAATACTATTAAGTGGTTAAAAAAATTAATTAAAATACTACTTAAATGTCATTTTTCATGTCTGTTCTTTCAATTTCTAAATAAAAGTCATATTCTTATATGGCTATTTTTTTAAGGAATGGGACAAACGCTTGTGAGAGAAACAGGTTGTATTACAGTCCTATCACAGTTGTTCAGGTAAACAAATATAAATTTCTTATTAAATATTCATTACTTAAGACCTTAACACATTTGTATTAACTTTATTTTCTTTTAACCTAATAGGACAGTTCTTTCAAAATATGAGTTGAATTTGTCAGATAAAAATGTTTTCCAGAATTATCAGTTGTGGTCTTCAGTGTGTAGTACTCTGTGTGTTTGTGTCAACAATCCTCAAAATGGTAATTATTTCCAATATTTAAATATAAAGATAAAAATGAAAACTGATATTTTACACATGTCATATTAAAACATGATTGACTTTGTCTCCTTTCAGATGAAAATCAAAAGTTTTGCTGTTCACTTTTTTCATATGCTAATGAGTGGCTAATAAATTGCATGGAACCTGAGATAATTCGCCCAATTTGCTCATTTATAGGACTCACTCTTGCAAATAACAGTAAGTGTTTGTTAGTCTCTGGGCCATACATTAAGAAATACATTTCAAAGCATAATAAACTATTTAATTCATTATTAATTAAATTAATGAATTCTAGTAATTAGGATCATTTTGGATGCATTTAGACTCTTGAAGGTAAGAAAATCTTGAAAGTAGATATTGTTAAGAGTATATTGGGAAGATGGTGTGGCAGGGCAGCATTGTTTCTCATTCTCCACAGATACCTTAAAAAAACAGAGCAACTAAATAGCAAAACTGAAAATCCACAGAGTCTATTATCATCCACAATGGAATTAAGAAATTAATAAAAATAAAGTTAGAAATGAATAAAAATAAAACATCTAGAAAAGCCAATTATCTGGTAGTCAAACAGCATAGTAATAAAAAACCCTATGAGTCAAAGCATAAATTATAAAGGATATTAGAAAATGTTTTTATCCTAGCATTCTGGGAGGCTGAGGCAGGTGGATTGTTTGAGTTTGAGACCAGCCTGAACAAGAGTGAGACCCCACCTCTACTAAAAGTAGAAAAACTAGCCAGGCATTGTGGTGAGTGACTATAGTCCCAGCTACTTGGGGAGGTCAAGGCAAGAGGATCACTTGAGCCCAGGAGTTTGAGGTTGCTGTGAGCTATGACTCCAGGCATGGTGTTCTAGCCAGGGGCAGCAGAGTGAGAGTATATCTCAAAAAACAAACAAACACACCACATGCACACAAAAACAAAAAAGAAAAAAAAAAGAAAATGTTTTTCACTGAATGATAATAAAAATACAAAATTAAAAACACCGAAGGTGGTATGTTCAAGCCTGGCCTGGGCCTACTAAACAGGAGTTCAAGACTAGCCTGAGCAATAGAGAGACCCTGTCTCTGCAAAAATAAAATAAAATTATATTCAGAGGCCAGGCATAGTGGCTCATGCCTGTAATCCTAGCACCCTGGGAGGCCGAGGCAGGTGGATTGCATGAGCTCGGGAGTTCAAGACCAGCCTGAGCAAGAGTGAGACCCTGTCTCTAAAAATAGCTGGGCATTCTGGTGGGCACCTATAGTCCCAGCTACTTGGGAGGCTGAGGTAGGAGAATCTCTTGCACCCAAGAGTTTGAGGTTGCTGTGAGCTGTGACACCATGACGCTCTACCAAGAGTGTCTAAATGAGACTCTGTCTCAAAAAAAAAAATTATGTTCAGGTGTTTGAAATAAATACTCATGTTTCACTTGCAAAGAGATATATCACTAGAGTTCCAAAAATCGGAGTCTATTTTCATGATTCCTTGACATTTCCTCTTCCTTTAAAAGCCAGCTTGAATGAGTGACAGTTCTAGGACCTCATTACTCTTAGCAAACTGGTATAAAATACAGATTAAAGGAAGTCTAAAATAGCATATGATGAGCATGGTCTAGGATGTTTTTAAGATGCTTGAATTTTTGTCACTTAGTATATAACTAAGAATCTTTGTGGAGAGAAAAGAATACTTAGCTACTATTGGCAAGATTGCAAACTAATTCAGCCTTTTTGGAAAGAATTATGGAGAATCCTCAAGGAGCTAAAAATAGACCTTCCATTTAATCCCACAATCCCATTACTAGGTATCTACTCAGAAGAAAAAAATTAATTATACCATAAGGACATTTGCACTTGAATGTTTATAGCAGCTCAGAGGACAATCACAAAGATGTGGAAACAACCCAAATGCTCATTGGTCCATGAATGAATAGTAAACTGTGGTGTATGTATACCATGGAATACTATTCCGCCACAAAGAAAGATGGAGATTTCACATCTTGTGTATTTACCTGGAAGGATAAGGAGAACATTCTTTTATGAAAATCATCACAAGAATTGAAAAGCAAGCATCCAAAGTATTCAATATCAAACTAGTAGATGAACAACTACATGCCCACATGAGAGAAAAACACGTTTAAATTCAAGAAGGGAGGAGGGGGTGTGGTAAGCACTCATCTCTTGGGTACAGTGGAGGGGTATATGGCATACTTCCTGGATGAAGGACTCAATTGCAACTTGGATTTTACCTAACAAATGCAAACAATGTAACCTAATTGTATATAATCTTATATTATCTGAAATTTAAAAAATAAGAGAAGAACTTTTGTGGGTAACACAATGCCATTTTCACCTCAGCATTTAAATATACTTCTTTCTTTGAATATTTGTATTCAAAAATTTTTTCATTTTTAGAGATGGGATCTTCATATGTTGCTCAGGCTCATCTTGAACTCCTGGGCTCAAGCCATTCTCTTGCTTTGGCCTCCTATGTAGCTGGGACTGTAGGCACACATCACTGTGCCTGGCTCTCCATTAGCCAGTCTGGTCTGCGGTGGCGTGATCACAACTCACTGCAACCTCAAACTCAAGCAATCTCCTAGCTCAGCTTCCTGGGTAGCTAGGACTACAGGGGCCCATCACTATACCCCATTTTTTTTTTTTTTTGGTAGAGAAGGGTAGCATTATGTTGCCTATGCTGTTCTATAGTTCCTGGCCTTCCAAAGTGCACTGAAGAATTCCTTCTGCCCTCCCTCCCACTCTTGCATTCTTGCTTGCTTTTTTTTTTTTTCTTTGAGACAGAGTCTCAAGCCAATGCCCTGGGTAGAATGCTATGGCATCACAGCTCATAGCAACCTCAAACTCTTGGGCTTAAGCAATTCTCTTGCCTCAGCCTCCCAAGTAGCTAGGACTACAGGTGCCTGCCACAACACCCAGCTAAATTTTTTGGTTGTAGTTTTCATTGTTGTTTGGCAGGCCCAGCTGGGTTCCAACCTGCCAGCTCTAACATATGTGGCTGGTGCCCTAGCTGCTGAGCTACAAGCGCTGAGCCTGCATTTTTGCTTTCTAACTTTCCATCAGGTTTCCATCATCCCGCCTTCCATCATCCATCATCTCTCTGTCATCCATCATCTTTCCATCATCCCTGTACTACCCTTCCACCATCCATCTCTCTACCATCCATATCTATCATCCCTCCATCATCTGCATCATCCCTCTAAGTCCCCATCATCCCTGCAACATCTCTCTATCATCCCTCCATCCTCCATCTCTCCATCATCTCTCCCTGGCTTCTCTTTCTTCCCTTTGCTTCCCTTCCTATCTTCCTTCCCTTCCTTTCTTTCTTTTCTTTTGGCAGAGTTGCACTCTGTTGCCCAGAGTTAGAATGCCGTGTCATACTCACAACAACCTCAAACTCCTGGGCTCAAGTGATCTTTTTGCCTCAACTTCCTGAGGAGCTGGGACTAGGTGCCTCCATAGCGGCTGGCTGATTTTTTCCATTTTCAGTAGAGACCTAGGAGATGGGGGTCTTGCTCTTGCTCAGGCTGGTTTTGAATTTCTGAGGTCAAGCAATCCAACTGCCTCAGCTTCTCAAAGTGCTAGGATTTCAGGTATAAGCCAACATGCTTGGCCACTGAATTTTTTTTTTTTTTTTTGAGACAGAGCCTCAAGCTGTCACACTGGGTAGAGTGCCATGGCATCATAGCTCAGAGCAACCTCCAACTCCTGGGCTAAAGCGATTCTCCTGCCTCTACCTCCAAGTAGCTGGGACGACAGGAGCCTGCCACAATGCCCAGCTACTTTTTGGTTGCAGCTGTCATTGTTGTTTGGCAGGCCCAGGCTGGATTTGAACCCGCCAGCTCAGGTGTATGTGACTGGTGCCTTAGCCGCTTGAGCCACAGGTGCTGAGCCTGAATTTATATATATATATATATATATATTTTTTTTTTTTTTTTTTTTTTTTTTTTTTTTTTTGAGACAGAGCCTCAAGCTGTCCCCCTTGGGTAGAGTGCTGTAGCATCACAGCTCACAGCAGCAACTTCCAACTCCTGGGCTCAAGTGAGTCTTCTGCCTCAGCCTCCCAAGTAGCTGAGACCACAGGTGCCTGCCACAACCCCCGGCTAATTTTTGGTTGCAGCTGTCATTGTTGTTTTGGCGGACCGGGCTGGTTTCGAACCCGCCACCTTGGGTGTATGTGGCTGGCGCCTTAGCCACTTGAGCCATAGGTGCCGAGCCTATATATATATTTTTAATGAAAATACTTTCTAGGGCCAGGCGCCTGTAATCCTAGCAGTCTGGGAGGCTGAGGCAGGTGATTTGCTTGAGCTCAGGAGTTCTAGACCAGACTGAGATCCCAACTCTACTAACAATAGAAAAACTAGCTGAGTCTGTAGTCCCAGCTACTGGGGAAGCTGAGGCAAGAAGATTGCTTGAGCCCAGGAGTTTGAGGTTGCTGTGACTTAGGGTGATGCTATGGCACTACTTTACCCAGGGTGACAGAGTGAGACTCTATCTTCAAAAAAATAACAAAGAAAAGAAAGACGGAAAATAACTTCTAATAAAGAAGCCTGTTTTCAAGTATGCATAATACTAAAAATGTTTACTTGCCTTTAAATGTTTCCTTATACTTCCTTTCCCAGATTTGGAAAATTTGGAATATATATTTTTATCTGTTTTATTGAACAGTATGAAAAATAAATTTTGTCTTTAAATCATCTTGGCTTTAATTTATGGAATTAAGGTAAACTGGGAATGTTAGTGGTAGAATCATAATCACTACTAATCCATATATACATTTGTTATAAGCCCATTACTGTGATAGAGGCTGTGGAGAATCCACAGACTCTGGGATACTTTCCCATCAGTATCATTTTCAACAGGGGAACAAAAACTTCAGATTTAAAAAATATGTATATGTGTGTATATATATGTCATTGAAACTTTGCTTGTAGAAGTTGTAATGAGTCTCAATGATATGTTATAATTTTATGCTCCAATAAGTCAAAGACTTATCAATAAGACACATGAGATATGTGTTCCTTTGGAATAGTTAAATTACTTTGCCTTTTGGGGAGTCAGGCCATCTGAGGAATGAGTTATGTTGGAATTCAGAAAGCAGGCAACTTGCTAATTACCAAGGTCAATGAATGAATCTGTTCTTTATAGCTCTAGTGAAAAACTTATTTAATAATGTTGAAGGACAGTTTAATAATATTCTTACAAAATGCACCAGTTTTTACTAAATGAAATAGATTTCTAGCACATAGGAAATACTATACTATATATGTAGTTGTACTATGTCAAAGTTGAGGTGTTTACATAAATAACCTATCTTATGTATATACATAGGTAAAGACTGGATTTTTAATTCTTTAATTCTGGGATTTGAAAAAAGGTCAAGTTATTGTTACGTTTAGTGCAAATTAATTGAATGAAGCCATATACCTATCTTATTTGAGATATTAATAGTTCTGCTTTTTTATTCCTTAAGTTTCTGTTCAGAAATATTTTTTATCTGTGGGTGGACTGGATATATTGGCTCAAGTTTTTGTGCAACTGGTATCTGATTCCCACAAGACTCTTTCCAGTGCTAAGCTTGCAGTGATGGTAACAAAGACAGTGGATGCTTGTATTGCTGATAATCGTGAGTAAAAATGCTTAGTCATTTTCCTACAACTGAATTTTGTTTTAATTTAGCATGGTCAGTGTGCAAATGGTAGATTGAACACTAACATAGATTAGACTAACAATTTCTCACAAGTGGAAGAGAACCTTAGACATTATCTCATCTGGCAACTTATTTTCTCATGGAGGTTACAGCTTCCCTAAGAATTCAAATATAGATCTTCTGACTTCAAGTCTAATGACAGAATCAAAATAAGATTCTATCATTCTTAGGCAGGGGGTGGAGCCTCATGCTTATAATTCTAGCGCTCTGAGAGGTCAAGGTGTGTAGATTCCTTGAGCTCAGGAGTTTGAGACTCCTGTCTCTAAAATTAGCAGAGTTTTGTGGTGGGCACCTATAGTCCCAGCTGATTGGGATGCTAAGACAAGAGGATCACTTGAGCCCAAGAGTTTGAGGTTGCTGTGAGCTATGATGCCAAGGCACTCTCCTAAGGGCAACAAAGTGAGACACTATCCCAAAAAAAGAAAAAAGAAAAAAGATTCTATCACTCCTAAACCTTTCTTTCACTTAGAAAGCAAGCCTTATGACACACTACTGTGGTTCTAGCTACTCAGGAGGTTGAGCCAGGATTGCTTGAGCCTGGGAGTTGGAGGTTGCAAAGTGAGGAACTACCATTGTGCCACAGTACTCTAGTCTGGGTGACAGAGCCCAGCAGGGCCTGTCTCTAAACTTTTTTTCTTTTTCTAAACATCTTTCAAAAAGCAGCATTAGGCTCGGTGCCTGTAGCTCAAGTGGCTAAGGTGCCAGCCATGTACACCCAAGGTGGTGGGTTCGAATCCAGCCTGGGCCTGCCAAACAACAATGATGGCTGCAACCAAAAAATAGCCGGGTGTTGTGGCGGGCGCCTGTGGTCCCAGCTACTCGAGAGGTGGAGGCA